CGCGTGTGGGGCCGGATGGAAAATTCATCCGCGAAAGACGAAAGATTTTGATCGATGACTTCACGGCACAAAAGTACTTCTATGATCGATAAACGACATTATGCTCTTTACTTCGTGTGGTAGTTTTCTTCAGCATTACAAAATTATATATATGACAGTTTTTGAGTGACAAAATGTCATTTTTCTGTTTCGTAATTATGATCATTATTACCGCTGTAATTAGTTCTCAGGAAAAACTAAAAACTGCAAACATTAATTAAGTTTCGAAGTTTATATTTATTTAATCGTTTACACCTAGTGCTGATTTTTAGTTAGCTATCAGGTGGGCCAAGGAAACAGCGGCTGAAAGCTCTGCCACTGCTTGCAGATCAACAATTTGCTACTCGTCTTTTGGCTGGTTGCACCAGTGCACAGTGCTGAATTGCTTGCTCATGAGGAATACCAGTTATTAGGAGAAATTTACCCTACGCAGTGAATTTAAACCAGACAGGCGCCTATAAAGTGCGAGCCAACTGCTTGACCACTGCGCCCCTGCCCCCCCCTGTACCCGAATGAAGAAGTTTAGCATAAAGATAGACTTGCCATCTTCCAGTCGAAATTCTTTCGATGCTGTGCGTAACGAATGTTGGTATCTGCTGGTACTTTTCTAATCTGATACTATAGCAAATAAAGCTGCCATTAATTTTCTTATATCGTAACATTGCACCGGTTCAAGCTAGTCTAGAACAACCTCTTTCACAAGAACCGATTTGAAAAAATCGATACTTCAAAGGTTTGAATACATTAAATGCCACTCCTCAATATCTGTTGGTCATCGATTATGAATAGATCGTGCTATGAATATATTTATCTATTTATATTCATTTCTTTCAGCTTTATTTATATTCAAGTTTAATACAGCCTTATATTCACAGAGAACAAATTCGAGGGTTAGTTTGTTGGCTGGCAGTAATAGATATTACTGGCTGATAATGCAAATACAGTATTCCTTATCGCAAACTGTCCATCCACAGACTGCACTCTTCTTTAATCATTTATGGTTTTATAGAGAATTAAGGAACATCTGCATTCTGCAGTATGTCAGTTTCTAGCTAACCTAGTAGGTGAAATTTTCCTTAAAATAGCTTTGCCGTCCGCCGTCAAATTCACGAAGGGTGATGACAGTCGATATTCGCGGCGATATGCATATAACCATCGGCTCAGCGTTACTGACAAAAAGTGCCCTCATCAGTTTTTGGGGACAACGATATAAACGATTAGGAACGACGTTATTACAGTGGGTTAATTTAGTATTGACTTTTAAGTAATGTGAATGTACCATGAATGGAAAAAGTTCTGATGGTAGATGACATTGAGCATTGGAGTTTGGTGAACAAGGGCCTAGTCATCATAGTAACTGTGATTCTAAACTTTTGCTAGTTACGGTACAGTCTTTGTTCGACAAAACACGGTATGTCATGTCATCAGCACAGCTTAGATGTAATTTCATTTTTAATATTACAACGATAAAAATGTAGAAAAATAGCACTCTAAATACATCGTGTGAGTCAAAATCGTTTCCACTAGTCTATAACGCCTAATTTCCTAAAAGAAACGATATTTTAACGTTTTAACTTACAAAATTAGTTCTGAAATTTTACCTCCTGATCTTAGAGATTCGGTTGATCAGGCGGTTCTCTTCGCTCTTCAGCTCGGCAGCTTTTGCTTCAGCTTTCTCGATCTTCGACCAGTCGACTAACCATCGACAGTACAACCGTTCCCAGAGCAACTACGAATCCAATCATAGAGTTGAAAGTAAGAAACGATCTTCAGAACTTACAATGCTCTGTGGGGCTACAGAAGGCCATAACACTTCATTGTTTGGCTGATAGTATGGGTTGATGTAGCGGTATAATATGTCTGGATGATTCAGGTAGCTCCTGTGAAATAAATATTTAATGTCTTGGTTGTGCCATTACCACTACGCCGCTATGTCAGAAAAGGTAAAGTATACTAAAAATAATCCTTTTCAGCTTTCAATACCGGAGTGAAGCGGCGTAGGCACCTGCCCTTGCTTCTAGTAGCCTAGGGGACTATTTAAGCAGGCCACGGCTCCATCGTATTTCAGCGTCTGCAGTGCACAGATGCAGAACCGCATCACTAGGCAGGGTCGAACAAGAGTCGATCAATGCGGTATCGAAAACTAAAAAGGATTAAAGATCTCAGAGGCGATATCGAAAACTACCAGTCTGCTAGTAATTCCATAAAATCTGGTTCTATTTTTGTTTATACATTGAAAATAACTTAAAATGCGCTGTGGATAGAATCAAGAGACCTTCAGCCAGTTGTAAGCCTATATGGGTGAAATGCAGTTTTATGCCGCGGAGTTCGTCGCAGACGGGGTTGCTCAGCTGGTACTCAGCTCAGACTCAGAACCAACAGGTCCCAGGTTCGAGATAAGAGCAGGTCACTTGACTTTCTTTCTCTCGTTAGACAGATGAGTAAAACAATGTGGGAAAGAAACAGATGAGTACACACATAGACACAGAAATGACCGATGGCATAGAAATTTAGACCAGCATGGCACCAACTTTATAAACAGAAGGCATCTCCACAAGTCGCCTCTGATCATAAGAGAGTAAGGGAGGGTGAACTGCCAACGGTTACAAATTTCGGTTTTTCTTCACCACAGTCGTGGAAAACTTTACGATACACAAAAGTTAACGACAAAGAATGACCACATTTCGACTGAACTGAACTGTATATATATAAGATCTATTATTTATAGCTTTGGTTAACGACAATCAGGGTGATGAGGATATTTGTTTTTGATTATCGTTTTCCTGCAGTTTTTTCTTTTTTTGTATGTCATTAGTCCTTTGCAAACAAAATAAACTTCTCCATTTTTTCCTGTCATCTGTTGCTGTTGTTAAATTAAGGTAAATTTAAAGTAAGAAGCATCCTAATTCTTAAAACACCTGTACAGTCTGATGGATTCCATTACGAAAGGGTGTTAAGTTGTATTTATAAACTGGAGATTTTCACCACGCTGAAAAGGGCTAAAAAAAACTCCAGTCTTAGCTGTACTCGTAACATTTTCGAACGTGGTATGCATGGAACATCTATATGGACCTCTTACCAAATGGATACGGTCTTCTGTTTGACATTGTTTTCTTTCTTCTCCTTTTCACAGTTGTAGAGGAATGTACCGAACTCCGATGCGTACGCGTGGTCAAACAGAAACGTCAGCAGCGCGGGGACGAACTCGAACGAGTTTTGATACTGTTGCATTACCTAGGACAGACGAACTGTCACCATTAGGTGTACCGCTGTAGGATCAGACATTACCATACCTGCCAGAGGCAATCAAGGAAGAGAAGAAATGTCGGGCTTTCAGCTCGATCACGTGATGAATGGCTACTGCGACCGTACACTGAGTGACTGCATCGAGAGGCGAACGGATGACCGGCCTGCACGAATTCGCGTTCGATCATCGATTCCAGTCTACATCGTTAATTCTTAATTCACATAGATGAC